TGGGGGCCTCGTTCCTTATTTAGGGTTCCTTAGGTCAACGCCTCGACGGTATGCACCTTCGGCGATGCTTAAGAAAACCTAAGTTTTCGGCCAGAGTCTCGATTATTCTTAACGTTTCAATGTAAATCCTAAGATTTTGATGGAAATCTTGGGTTTTTGTTCAAGTTCTGAGACTATGAATTTCTTAACCCATGATTTCTTAAGCATTTCGCAGGGTGTAGGGCCACCCTTCCGATCGACGGCCGCCCGGGCCGCCTCCCCCTCGCCCAGGCCACGCCGCGCGGCTCGGCCTCGCCGCGGGCCGCGCCGCCGGCCCGCGCGGCGGGCACCGCCGCGGCGCCCGGCGGCGGCGACGAGGCGGGGCGCTGCCACGCGCAGAGGGAGGAGGGGAGGAGGGGGAGGAGGAGGAGGAGGAGGAGGAGGAGGAGGAGGGGAGGGGGAGGGGGAGGGGAGGGAGGAGGAGAGGAGGAGGAGGAGGAGGAGGAGGAGGAGGAGGAGGAGGAGGGAGGAGGAGGAGGAGGAGGAGGAGGAGGAGGGAGGAGGAGGAGAGAGGAGGAGGGGGGATTCATTTAGGTTAAGTCGGGCCTGTCCCTCCCCGCCCGCAAGCCGTCTCGCTCACCCCCACCCGCCCTCCCAGCACATACGTAGCACCCGAGTCTGGCCCGAGCCTCAGCATATTCAGCAGTCGTCTTTGGATGGGCAGCTACTGGGGGCCAATCCGCCGCCGCCGCCGCCGCCGCCGCCGCCGCCGCCGCCTGCCGCCGCCGCCGCTGCCGCAGCCGCGCCGCCCCGCCCGCCGCCGCCGCCCGCCGCCGCCGCCGCAGCCGCCGCCGCAGCCGCCGCCGCCGCCGCCAAGTGTACTCTGTATTGTTTTTTGACAGGGATGGTGGGGTGAGGTCGCATCGGGTTGGCTGCGCATGCTCCGAATTTGGAGGCAGAGTGTGCTTCGTATTGTTTTTTACTAGGGATGGTGGGGGAGTGCCCGCATTGTCCCTTGTTGGCTCCCAGTCGCCTCGGGGAGGGGGTGTTTATTAATAGGGAGCAGTGATTAAGTCGGGCCTGTCCCTCTACACAAAAATAGTTAAAAATAGTATTGGGACGATTTTTTTGACTATTTTTGCCCATGTTGGGGGGGGCATTTTTTGAATATGTTTTTTTCGCCCAAATACCCCCTGTAGGGGGACCTGCCCGACCTACAATCAGGGGGGGAGGAAGGAGGGGGGGGAAGGGATGGGGGGAAAAGGGGGAGGGCGGGGAGGGGTGAGGGGGGTGGGAGGGAGAGAGGGGGGGGAGTAGAGGGAGGCAGGCGGTGGAGGGGGGGGAGGGGGGGGGAGGGGAGGGTGATGGGGGGGGGGGGGGGAAGGGGCGGGCGGCGGCGAAGAGGCGGGGCGCGGCCACGTGCAGAGGGGGGGGGGATTAGGGTTAAGTCGGGCCTGTCCCTCTACAGGGGGACTATTCAATAATTTTCAAAGATCGCACGGGGACATTTTTTCTGTTTCTTCTTCTTCTGCTTCTTCTTCTTCTTATTATTATTTTTTATTATTATTATTAATATTATTATAATTTGTTTTGTATTTGTAATAGGGTATTATAATTTGTTCTGCAGGGGGACAAGCCCGACGTAGGATTAGGCGGGAGGGGTGAGGGTTATCATTCGGGGAACGGACAGTGACATAAACATAAATTTCGGAGGTCCGCGCGGATTTCGCAGATCCGCGCTGGGCCCCCCTGGCGGCGCCTCCCGCGACGCCCCTGGCGCGCTCCGCGCGCCGCTCAATTTTGCGATTTGTATTTTCCCGCTGCGGCCTCTGGGCTCTCTCTTGTCATCGTCGCTGTGTTTTGCCGTTGGTGCTGCCAGCCGCCGCCAGCGCAGGCGCCAGCACCGGCACCGAGGGGTGAGGGGGGGCGTTCGAACCCCTCCCTTCCCCGAGAAGCCGGAAGAGAAAATATTGGGGGAGATATAATCCTTACTCCTTTCCCAGGGGGGGGAGGGACCCCCCCCTTGGGAGGGGGGGGGACGGGGGGGGGTAGGGGGGAGGGGGGTCCCCCTGGTTCTGATCGAAACGCGTTCTCGTCTCTGAACGCGTTCCGATCAGAACCAGGGGGAGGGGTTAACGCGTTCTCTCGAAGGTTTGGAAGTTCCCCGGCTTTCTGAGGAGTTGTCTCAGCCTCTCAGACAGCGCGAAGGTTTCTCAGATCGACTCCGATGCCGGTTCGGATGTCGCTCCCTTGACGGAGGCCCAATTGGCCTGCCGATGTCCGCCGATGTGACCTCTCTCTCTCTCGACTCGGCCGCCGACTTTTTCGCTGGTCCGTTTCGCTTCGATCGCCGAGGAGGAGGGAGAGGGGGAGGGGAAGGGGATGAGGACAAGCTAGGTGCTCTTGCGTCATATCTGACGTCCTGCCCCTCTCTCCCATCCCTTGCCATGGCGTAGATCTCCATTCTATTCGCACAATCGGATGTCGCAACAGGGCGTAGCATTACTTGGCACAGCATGGTGCCGAATAGCAATGCGTAGTAAGACATAGCATGACGTGGCGATGCCCCAAAGAGTGGGGGGGCTTCTGCGGCCCCAGATGAACGAGTCGTCACCGCATGTGTATTCCGATGTTTTTTTTCGGGAGGCCACGTTTTAGATTTTGGAGAACGGGGCCGATTTAGAAGGACCGAAAACTATGCCGTGGCATGGCACTGGGAATAATGACGCCAGCGCTGAAGTGTGAGCACGAATCATGACGAGCGGAAGCGCGGAAATGAGGCCAGCGTTGCAGCGGAAGCACGATTCGGAACGAGCAGTAGCCAGAACATGAGGCTAACGCTGCAGCGCGACGAGCATTTTTTCAAACAGCCAAAGCGCGGGCACGCGGACATGAGGACGCGAAGCCTGACATAGCATGGCGTGGCCGGCGACAGCTTCTGCGGCTCCAGAAATCAACGAATCAAGACCGACTGTGGAATCACTTCCGGTGTTTTTTTTTGGGGGGGTGGGGGGCGGGAGGCATTTTCAATATTTTGGTGCCCATTTGGATGGACCGAAAACCATGCCGTGGCATGGCGCTGGAAATAGTGACGCTAGCGACGCAGCGGGAGCACGATTCGGAACGAGTGGAAGCGCGGACACGAGGCCAACGCTGGCAGCGGGAACACGATTCGGAATGAACGGTATGAGGCCAGCGTTGGAAATCAACCCGAGCGAAAACCCAACTCCAGGGAATCTTGTGTGTAAACAGCCAGTGCGTGGAGGGGCATCGGACATTTCCCGGACACCATAAGGGGAGACAAGACAGTAGTATTCATGTGGTGTAGCTGTGGAGGAGGAGGAGGACCAGGAGGAGGATGGCGATGATGATAAGGAGGAGGAGGAGGAGGAGGAGGAGGAGGAGGAGGAGGAGGAGCAGGAGGAGGAGGAGGCGGAGGAGGAGCAGGAGGAGGAGGAGGAGGAGGAGGAGGAGGGGGAGGACCGAGGAGTACAATAATGCAACTGAGGAGGAGGACGAATAGGAGGAGGAGGGGAGGAGGAGGAGGAGGAGGAGGAGGAGGAGGAATGGGAGGAGGAAGGAGGAGGAGGGAGGAGGAGGAGGAGGAGGAGCAGGAGGAGGAGGAGTAGAAGGAGGAGGAGGAGGAGGAGGAGGAGGAGGAGGAGGAGGAGGGGGAGGGAGATGGGGGAGGGGGAGGAGGGAGGGAGGAAGGGAGTGAGGGAGGGAGGGAAGAATGAGGAGGAGGAGTTGGAGAAAGAGGAGGAGGAGGAGGAGGCGGAGGAGGTGGAGGTTGAGGTGGTGATGGTGGAGGAGGAGGAGGATAATACGAATAATGAGCAGAAGATGGTGAATCCTATTTTTATAAATGCTACTCATAATACGTAGCACCCAGCAGATGCGGATACGAGTGAGGGGGTGGTGGGGACGTCGGCAGTTTGCGAGACTCTGGAGAATCCCGCCGCAGGCGCAACAGTTTCACACATTATACAGCGAGCCTACCGCAGGCGCTTTTTTTTCGTTAAACCAATGTGGGTAGGTCGCGGGAGGGTCGCAAATGGGTCGCGGGTGGGTCGTTATTGGATCGCGGGTGGGTCGCGGGTGTAGAGGGCAGAATGTCCACCCCATAATAATCACCCCGACAAGCGAAGCCGTTTAGTAAACGCACTCAAGGAATGAATCGAACAGGGCATGGCTGTTTAGTCAACGCCCCGGGCCGTTTAGTAAACGTCAGTTGTCGGGTCCGGGTGGTTTTTCCTCCCTTGAGGGTGGGTCGCGGGGTGGGTCGCGGGTGGGTCGCGGGGTGGGTTGCGGATGGGTCGCGGATCGGTTGCGGGATGGGTCGCGGTTGGGTCGCGGTTGGGTCGCGGTTGGGTCGCGGGTGGGTCGCGGGTGGGTCGCGGGTTGGGTCGCGGGTTGGGTCGCGGGGTGGGTCGCGGGGTGGGTCGCGGGGTGGGTCGCGGGATGGGTCGCGGGTGGGACGACGACATTAATCAACAAATAACAACACCAGCAACAACAACATTGACGACGACGGCGACGACGACAACAACAGCAGCAGCAACAGCAACAACAACAGCAAAACCAGCAACAACAACAGCAACAGCAACAGCAACAGGCAGCAAGACCAGCAACAACAACAGCAACAGCAACAATAACAACACCACCGCCACCACAAACAACAACAGCAGGAACAGCAACAACAACACCAACAAACAACAACAACGCAACAAGCAGAATTCTCACCACGAATTTCTGATTCAGCCACGCGCCCTGGGACAATGAATGACCGTCTGGCTCCCTCACTCTGACAACGAATCTGAATACGAATGCGAATGCGAATAACAATACTCATACTAATCGTATTAATATTCACATTGATAATCGTACGATTGAGATGAAGACGAATACTAAAAAACATAATAAGAAGAAGCAGAGGGAGACGAAGAGGCGGCGGAGGAGGAGGAGGAGGAGGAGGAGGGAGGCCCTCGTTTCGATTCGCTTCCGGGCCCCTCCCCCTCCAGGAGCCGCTGCCCTCGGTGCCGCAGAGCGGGCCGCGTGGCCCGGCCGCGGGCGCCCTCAGCGCCCGCCGCGCCGCCGCGGCCCTGCGCGCGCAGGTGGTGCAGCGCGGCGTGCCGCTGGCCCTCACGGTGGTGCGCGCGCGGGGCCGGGGGGGCGGCGCCCCGGCCACGTGCAGGTCTCGAGCAGGGGATCGGCTGCAGCAGGGAGTCGGGCCTGTCCCTCTGCGGGGGGAAGAATCGAACACAGCCAAAGCATGGTCCGGGGACGAGGTCTGAGGTATCATTGAGCATGTTTTTGAATATGCTCTGTCCATTTTCATGGTTCGCCCCAAATCCGCCTGTAGGGGGACATGCCCGACCTAACTGCAGCATTGGTTTGGCCCAGACAAGTTTTTTTTTTTTTTTTTGGTTTTTGTTTTTTTCGTGGAATCGTGCGTGGACTGTTCGTAGATCTCCGAACCTTCTACACATATGTCATGGACTCAACGAGCGAATCAAGTTTGGGGTGGCTCAATCCTGTAGTCGACCTCCTACTCGAAGGTTCTGGGTCCGGGGCAGGAACCCGGATGCCAAGTTCCAGACGCCGCCAGCGGTTGAGGTCGGCGCTTGCGCGGACCTCGTGTGGGCTTTCCAGCAGAAGGTCCCCGGCGCCGAGGAGGGGGACGTAGTGGAGTTCGAGATCCTTGACGGCCGCCCCGGCTCGGGGGCGCACGGCTTGGAGGCGACAGGGCCCAGCCCGCTGCCTCCCAAGACGCCCCCTGCCTTCTGGGGTCGGCCGGCTGCCCACTCCCACACCCCACGCCTGCGCCAACGCCCACGCCCACGCCCACACCGCCCACGCCCACGCCCACGCCCACACCCACGCCCACGCCCATGCCCCACTCTAGCCCTGCCGCCCTGTTCTGGATCTGGGCCTCCCAGGCGGGGTCGAAGCAGATGGGGCTCGAAGGATCGAGCCCGACTTCCCCCATGCCGGCGCCGCCGACGCACCGCCGACGCCGCCGAGGCCTCGGCGGTGCGGCGCGATCCTGCGACCCCGTCTGCTCGGGCCCCCGTCCTTGGGAGGCCCCGCGCCTCGCGAGGAGCAGGCGCCCACGTGCAGGGGCGTCCTCGTGCTGGTGCGGGCGCACCTCTCCGCGGGCGGGGCGGAGCTCGAGGTGCCCCTCGCGGAGGTGCCCGGCGGCGGGCCCGCGGGCTCCCTGCAGGTCCGCGTGCGCGAGCTGGTGGCCGGCGGTGCCCCTGCTTCGGGGGCGGCCTCACCGCCCCCTGGCCTTACGTCGGGCCGTTCCCTCTACAGGGGGACTGTTCAAAATTAGTTTGATCAAATTGCCTGGGGACGATCTCGTGATCGTTTTTGAGTATTCTGGGGGTGTTCAGTTTTTGATTACTTTTGCCCAGAATCCGCCTGTGGGGGGACAGGCCCGACCTGACCCTGGCCTGCCATCCCCTTCTGTGACGTCCACCTCGACGCACCCCGAGACGTATGCAGTGGCGGCGAGCGAGGGGTGGAGGTGAGAATGCGAGAAGGCCTTCTCGGAAGGCGGCGGGACTTCTCGGAAGCCCTCGCACCTCCTGAGAGGTTTCTTTTCTTTCCTGTCTTCGGGGCAGGATTAGAACACTTCTCAGAAGGCCATGGGACTTCCGAGACTTCTGAGAAGGCCCGCCCCTTCGCACTTCCCCCCCTGCTCGCCGCCGAATGTGTGCGGCCGGAGGGAAGCTCGGATGGCGAGGATGACCTCTTTGGAGGTGCTGGTCACGGTAGGGGCCGGTGAGGCCGCGCCCGATTGTTCGCCGTTTTCTCCTCGTCTTCCTCGTCTTCGTCGTCGTCCTCGTCTTCCTCGTCTTCCTCGTCGTCGTTCGTCGTCGTCCTCGCCGTTTTCCCCTCGTCTTCCTCGTCGTCCTCGTCGTCCTCGTCGTCTCCGTTGGCGCCCTCCCCCCCCCCTGGTGTGGCCACGCGCAGAGGGTGGCGGGGGGAGGGGGGGGAAGGCTTCTTAGAGGGCGGGCTGCCTCCTCGAAGGCGCGGCCTCGTCTGTACATTTAGGAGCCCGGGCCTCCTAAGAAGCAGCATCCCTTCTCCTCCCGAGAGGCCTTCCCCCCTCCCCCCCTACCCCCCTCTGCGCGCCGCCGACCCCTGCATCCTCGTCTTCCTCGTGGTCCTCGCCGTCTCCGCTCTCGCCCTTCGTTGCCCTCGCGGCCCTGCTCTTCCTCTTCGTCGTCCTCGTCGTCCTCGTCGTCCTCGTCGTCCTCGTCGTCTCCGTTCTCGCCCTCTCCCCCCGCCCTCTTTGTTGCTCTGCTGCCTCTCCTCCTGCCCCTCCTCCCGCCGCCCGCCGCTGCCAGTCGCCGCCCCCTCCGCCACCCCCTCCTCGATGCGGGGCCCGGCTCTAAGATCGAGGTCGGTTCGAGGAGGGTACTCCTCAATAGGCCCTGGAAGGGCCGTTTGTGCCCTGTTTTCGAAAAAGGTATCTCTTGACAGTGGAAACGGTTCAAACGCGGCAACCGGAAA